TGTTAAATAAACCTTTAGACATTTATAATGGATTCAGCATTTCCTGCTTTTTACAGTTCCAAGAATGCTGAATGACGTGCAGACACACTTCATCAGGATAAGATTGCTGTATCAGCCCCTCACTAAAATGCACTCATTATTCAAATAATAACTGTATGTCTCCAGCATGTGTTCTGTGAAATACGTGTACATGATGTGGGCGAATAAACCAGCCCCTTTTTTTCAACATGCAAATCCTAACTTTAGCAGTGAGTTGAAATACTTTAGATTTTGAGTCCTTTACTTCCTAAAATGAGGCACCTGAACAGAGATTTGGTCATTATTTTGAACAGTGTTAAAATTTTCAGAAGTTCATAAATGTAGTTTTCAAGGGGGACTGATTTGATTTCGGAGTTTAAGTCCTGTGATAAGTCTGATTTTGAGGATGGGTGTGGACAGTAGTGGTCAGTAGGAAAGGCTTGGCTTCATCAACACTGAAGCCCGCTGAAATCAAGTGGGAGGAACAGCAGGCCCGTGGCATTGCGGGGGCTCAGAGTGCTTGTTTTGGAGGGAACAAATATGGGTCGGAAATGACAAATGCCAGAAATATACCAAGAAAATCAGCTCTCTGAAGTAAAGCTTTGTTTTCTTCTAGGTGTCAGGAGAGGAACTTAGAATTTTATGTTTCTCCTGTCATCTCATATGGCTTTAAATAATTCCTACAGAAGGGAGAACCAGCAAGGAACATATTTCTTACACTGCTGTGGGTGTTTGCTATGTCATTAACACTTGGAGGAGAACCACCATCTTGAAATCCTGTCCAGGCAGGTTTAAAAGTAAGGCTGAAGGAAGAACAGTGTTTCATTTAATTCAACAGTAGACAAAAATCCATCCATGTTCTTCCTTCCTCTCTTTCTCAGTTTGTAAATAATGATTACAGTACTTGTTTTGGAAGAAGTATTTTTATTTAATATTTTGGAGTATTTGCATATTTATGGAAGCGGACATTCTAAAATTACTCTATATACCAAATGTGTCCCGATCACTTTCTATTGAGAGCAATAAAGCTGTACTGAAATTCATGCTTACAAAGTGAAAGAGAGTAGAAAAGGTTCAGGATAAACGGGATCATTTTAGGTTGAGAGCAAGAGGCTCTGGTATATTCTGGGAAGAGAACATCACATAGTGAAAATGTTAAGTACCTGTTTATGTGTTTTTATTCACAAGTCATGGACTCTGACATGACTCATTCTGCCTTTTCTAGTGTCATAAAAACCTTGGATAACTTAAAAAAAAAAAAGTTTGTTTTTTTTCCCAAGTTGCTAATGTGTTCTGTACTGTGGATGTATTGCTGGGGGTCTGATCCTGGGTGATATTAACCCTGAAGCTCCTGCGGAAGTTGTAGGCACTTAGGTTCCTCTTGTGCAGTTTTCAGGGTAAGAGATGCAGTGCTGTATTTCAGGACAATGTTCTATCTCTGCTCTTGATGCTAGTTAAAAGAGGCAGATCAACATAAAAGAGAGCTGAAGGATCCAAGCCTGACCTAGGTCATTTGGTACCAAAATGGGGAAATACAGCAATGAGCTGTAATTTGAGCAGCCCTTTTCCCCTCATTGCTGGGTAATGGCTTCTACTAGTTTAATGTATTCAAAGTAATAAAGGTTTAACTCAGCCAGTTATATAAAAGTATGGGTAAAAATTGCAAAAGTTTAGACAGGAATATTGAGTTAGTCCAAAAAGCAGAAAATGCCCGCTGAAAGTGTTATCTGGCGGACAGGAGAGACAAGGACCAGAAATTAATTGAAGCGAAGGGTTGTGGTGGGAATTAGGCAGAGAAAACAGCAAGAGAAGATTGGCTCTTCCTCTCCTTATCCCTTCTGGAGGGCATTCTATGCCACCAGTACTGAGAGGACAAGTGGACAGGAAGGGACAAACTGCCACTGCAGTGAGTCATTTCACCCTTATCACCCAGTCCTGGAGCTATCATGAGAGGCTGGGTCAAAGGCAATGTTCTCGGTAACCTCCTTACCTCTTAGGCTTGCACATAGTCTGAAAATTATGTAGCATATGAGTTTGTATTTCTATTATTGCCTTCCTGTTGCTTATTTTCTTCATTCTGCTGCTTCTTCCTCTTTCCTCTGCTTTCTGTCTTGACTGCATCATGCACAGAGCTGCAGTGAGGGTCCAGCTGGAGGAGCGGGCAGTGGCAACTGGTACGAGTGTGCCAGGTCTGTCTGGACGCTGGCAAGATCAGGTTCTGCTTGGTTTGTCCAGCAAATAAAGCTGCAAGTAAGAGGAAGATTTTATCAACAGAGTAATTTTTTGCTCTCTTTTGTGGTTCTCTTCATCCTTGTTTCATGGAGACCTATTGACCTGCACTGTGCTGCCTTTGGAAAAGCAGGGTTGGATCCCAACAATAACCCACTCCATCTTATCTCAACTAACTTTCTTTTTTTCCTTGGAAAAGCCATAAATAACATTTTTAATATCATCTGTGAGATTGGCAGCCAGGTTTGTATTCCTCACTGAAACCCTAACAATGAAAGGAAACAAGCAGCATATTTTGAATGAAATATTTAATATCTTAATTGTTTTACTTTCTTTTTATTCATAAACAAGTAGTGAGGTTTTATTGACAGTAATTTGTTGCGGCACAAAGTTGTGCCTTGGCCTGAACTTGAAACTCTCCAGTAGTTTTAATCCTAGTTCTGGGAAGCAGGTTCATGTCAACATTTAACTGCTCAAGCCAGTTTCATCTGTAAAGATATCACTGTGCCTATCTCTCCCTTCTCACCTCAGGCATACCAGATTTGCAGTCCAGGTAGCTTTGGCGCTTGAAAATTGAGAGGACACAGAAATGACATAAAATGCCCTTACAGTCCCTGTGCCCTTCCCTCCTCATTCTCCTTCAACAGCTTATTCTTAGAAACCCAGCAGAATCTCACCTGAGCATACCTGGCACTAATTTGTCACCGCTGTATATCAGGCGAGACCTGCGCTGATGCTTTTCACAGCAGCATTCACTTGAGTATGTGTGCATTCACTCTCTCGTCTCCTTTTCCCATTACACACTCCATTTTTTTCCTCTCTATGCAGACAGCACAAGAGACCCCAGATCACAACAGCAGATTATTCACCCACCCCCTTCATCCTCCCTTCTTCCCCGAGAAGGCAGCTGTGATTTATCTGCTCATGTCAGTGAGCAGGTGGCAGTTGGACTCAAGGCTTAGCCCGCTTAGCCTATGATAAATAACATATTTACCAGCCCTTCCATCTTCAAATGCTGTCCACATGCAGTCCAGAAAGCAGCACGAAACTCTTAATAGCAAACACATCCATGCTTCAGCAAACGCGGGAAATGGGAGATATAATGAGTGTTTTCCTGGTAGAAGTAGGTTGGAATTGAAGGCTGCTCCTCATCCCAGTACCTTTTATTCACATTCCTGGAATTATCTGGTGCGCTCGCTTTATCCCCAGCCATCTGTGATGGGCTGAGCTGGGAGAGATAAGCTCAGTAATCAGAAAATTGAGGGAAGCATTTCTGGCTGTGATAATCTTATCAGGCAGCTAATATACATTAACATTTGTACAGCCTGATGATGCAGGTGGGCTTTTGCTTATTTTTTCTTCCTGGATGCCTTTTGACAGGATGGGGGACAGGGCTCCAGGGTGCCAGGGTAAAATTTGGATGAAACTTCTTTTCTACCCTCTTACTTCCGCTCCATCCCTGTGGTATCAGAAAGGGGAGGGGGAATAATCCAACCATCCCTTCTCTGCCCTTGCCTGCTAACAGTCCTGCATGGAAGGGCAAAGTGGCAGTATGTCAAAATTTCAGTTCTGGCTGAGCAGTATGACTTCACGTGTCAATATGCTCCTCTTCCTTGTAAAATTGGGGGAGTTTCTGCCAGCTTGCTGTCTTTGCAAGAAGTTTGCCATTGGAATGTGGTTTTGTTCTAAAAGTCTAATCAGTGGTGTTGAAGGGAGTGGTGTATTAATGGATTATTTCCCTGATGGTGAGCACTGTGCTCTCTGTGGTCATAAGTTTTGCATCTGTAATGAGTGCTGGATTGCTTATTGTTTTCCTCCTGAGTGAAAAATGTACTTTCTGTCAATAGATTTATTAGGGAAATTAGTTGTCAGTACTGAAATACAGATGACAAAAGGAAATCCAGAATCTCAAGGATGAGTGAAGCAGGTCTAAGATGGGATAAGGTGCTGGAACAGAAGTTTGAGTAGCCTCTAGGTAGTTTACCTGTGCTTATACTTCATAATAAATAATTTTCTGAGAGGTTTAGAAGCAAGTAACATACATAGTTTATCAATCTATGCCTTGTCTTGTTAGCTGAAGTAGGGATACATACTCCCATAAGTCAGGGAGCCTGGGAGTGGTAGAGTCTGGGTAAGAAGTTTTTATGTCTGTAGAGTTTTGAAGTACTTTCTTGTGAGTTCCTTCCCAAACAAGGCTAGAGGCAGAAAGTATTCCTAATTGTTTGTTCCACCAGAGCTACCTGAGCAGCTTGAGCTAGAAGTGTGTGTTGGAACGTGCTGGAAATCCCCAGTCTTTTGGATTCAGTGTATGTGTCTCAGAGTTGTCCTGGACAAGGCAGCATGTTCATTTCTTCCAGGGAGGAACTGAAGATAAATGAGGTTGAACTGTCAATACTGAATCTCGGGTACCAGCAAGCTCCTAATACCACAGAGATAATTCCCTGCATCCCATTATCTATGGAGGATGTGTTAGGGAAATACCTGGAAGAAAAGCAGAAGATTTTCTTATAAACATTCAACTTTCTGTGCCTCATCTACCTTGGAGAAAATGTTGGGGAAGGCAAAAGGGATTGCAGAGGGAAACAGGGTTAACCAAGGCTTTGACATTCAACACATGAAGAGTTGTGCTTTGCATCTGTATTCTGAGAGGGTTCTGATCTGTGCAGAACATCATGATTTCTTCCTCCTCCCTTTTCTGCTTGTGTGTGTCCCTTACTAGTACTGGAGGAACTAATTCCTTTTCTCTTCTGCAGCTGGAGGTGGAAATGAAGGTCCTGAAGTCTCAAGAGTGCACAGCTGAGCAAAGTAACGTCATTACCAAGGAGGAGGTTGACGTGCTCAGGTAAGCAAAGCAAGGGGAAGGCTGAGAAGATTCTGCTATTTTCAGTGGAACTAATGAGAATGGAAATGCCCAGCGTAGTTTCGCTGCCTGCTCTGGTTATTGCCATCTCATAGTAGAGCACCAGTTACAGGACCTCACCATGCTACAATGCATGAAAAGGTGTGTGTATAGACTGCCTATGTACATAGGCTGCCTGCCATTCAGGGAGCAGCGTGGTAGCACCAATCAGAACATATTTTCTTTCATTTCAGAAGAAGGAAGTTCTTTTCCCAAGCACACTTTTTAATTTCCCGCCAGATTTTATAGACATGAGAAATACATGAAGCATTAACAGAAAGCCTCAGCCCCTGATCTTTCTTGCATTTAGATACTTTATAAGCTTTTCTATCTTTTGGGATGCTGCAGACTCTCTCCTTTTAATGTTTGGGGTCACTTGCTCTCAGTTAATTCATAAGACTGTCTCCTGCATCACTATTCCCCCGCTGGCTTTCTTTCCTGTGGAAACAGCATTGCTGTTTGTTTCTCATTTTGACCAAATCTTGACTGTAAATACAGGATCTGTTGGCATGTGTGTGAAGAGGTTTAGAATCCAGCTTTTGTAATACTGATGTGCGTGTAGCCCTGGAGATAAAAGAGGGATGTTTCCCCTTGTGCATTGCTGCAGATGGCAGAGGGGTACCTGTTGTGATTCAGTGAAAGAGAAGTTACAAAACAGCGTTTCAGCAGAGGATACATGAGCATTTACAAAAGCTACAGTGAGGCTAGACAACATTTCCATGTATTTATTAAAGCATTTACAGCTTCCATTCCAAAGCAAGTGACACAATAAATACCAAGCACAGAAAAGTTCATCTGTTTCTGAATGTTTAATAAAGTTCCTTTTATTTAAGCTGAGCAAATCAGATCTGGACAGGCTGAGATTTTTATTCTCAGCTGATGTAAGGCTTTGTCTGGAGTTTCACTTTTTAATTCTTTTATATTTTCAGCTCCATCACTATAAAGTGTTACTGCCTCATAGGACTGAAAGCAAGATTTTGCAGCAAGCAGAATCTTGCAGAAAGCAGAAATTACTGGCCTGTACGTTATGACTTTGCTCTTATGCTTTGCCTCTGGAGCTTGTTTTATGGCTTTGAAAGCCCAGTTCCATAGCAGAGGGGAGGTGTTTGAAAATAACACATGTTCAGCTAAGTTATTCCAATATGGTTTAGGGCTGTACACCTAATCTTAGGGACTCACTCCTATAGTTCCCTCAAGGTGGTATAATAGTTCTGGATACCCAAGGCATACATCTCCCTTTTTTATTCTGTCATATGTTTGAGTTCTGTTAAAGGATAGTATGCTACGGCTTCCCTTTTTCAGAGGCATACCTCTCCCTTTTTTTTATTCTATCATATGTTTGAGTTCTGGTAAAGGATGGTATGCTATGGTTTCCCCTTTTCAGGGGTATAAACTGTCTCCATCTGCTTTTGCATATTGTGGGTATGTGTTTGACCTGAGCTTCTTCAGGTTTTTCCTTTGCTGAGGCGCAGTAGACCCTCTGAGACCTGATGTTTACACTGCTGCAGAAGTATTCAGCACCTCCTCAGCAACACTAAACCTGTCACTCCTGATTAATAATATGCCTGTATATCAGTAAAGCCAGCATCCTGTTTGCTGTCTTCTGGGAGCTGAAGGTTTTCAAAGTATTTCTACAGTACCTCCTTGGTCTCTCCCTCCCTGGGTTGGTAGGGGCTGCAGCACCCTTTCATGTAGGAGACGTTCAGTCTCTTTATTTTCACCTCCAAGACTCATTATTCTGTGTTTATCTTCACTGAACAGCATTTGACATCTATTAAGCTGAGCAGCTTCAGGGACAGCATGTGTAGGGGGAAACAGCTGGATTGCCACATAGTCCAGGAGCACTTCATATTGCAGTAGGCTCTTGACAATGGGCATAGAGGTGTCTGGTTTTGCCCTGAATTAAAATCTATTTCCTGGGCAGGGACAAGTGGACCTCACAAGTACCTGCTTGTGGTGTTTGGTTTTGCTCAAAGGTAGCCCTAAACTCCCCTAGATAATGATTTTCTTGCTTCGTTTTTAAAGAATTTTTCTGACTACTAACCTCATCTCTCTCCTCCTTTCATGAAATTGTGTCCAGCCTTTCACACAAAGCATGACAGAAACACAGGCCTGTTCCCAGTCAAAGCCGTTGGTGGTGCAGAGCTACTCTCCAGTGATGAGCCGTACAATGAAAGCTGTTTTAGCAGAGGCTAAGCTTCTGCAGTTGTTTCACGGTGATATTTTGTGTTTTCTTTTCTTTCCGATTTCAGTACCACGTGCTCCTGAGGCTATGGATGCACTGAGGCCACAGTCCCAGGATCTAATCCCAGGCTGTTTTTTCTGTTGCTTTTTACTAACCACTTTTAGTTATTATGGCTGATTTAAATACTTGTCCCAGGCCCTGATGCTGGTCATTTAGCTACAAAGCTGTTCCAAAAAGAATGGATTTGTTTGGGTTTAATCACCCTTTTCACTCTCAGTTCTAACAGTAAATGACTTGGTGTGGAGTGTTCTCTTTCTGCTGGAGCTCTCTTTGCTGGAGAACTGGTAAGCCAGTCCCTGCTCCTTTTTCCTCACTGTTTGCTACTATGACTGCTTCAGGTGTCTTCTCAGACTGTCAATCACTGCACTCAGCATTGCAGAATCAACTCCATAAAGATTTTTTTCTTATGCTTCTAGACTAAGCAGTCAAAGGATATGGTTGGGCCTTATTTTATGATTTCTGGCATGTTCTGTGCATTGGACAAGAAACTGGGTCAAGTTCTTTCTTCATAGAAGAGGCTTTTTCTCAAAAGAGTGTAAGATAAATCACTATCTTCCCCCAGGCTTTTGGGGTTCAGGAATAATGTGCTTAGGTCCATACCAGAACAATCCTTGTAGCCCAGCCAGATGTGTCCTCTCCTTATAGCAGAGGCGAATTGGGTAGCTGTGTTGAAAGAACAGAACGGGTTTGGAGGATAACAGAGATTAGTATGGGAAGGGATTAGCTGTGCTGTGCCTTGTCTTCCTCCTCTGTCTTTTTGTGCCTCAACAGGACCAGTTTACTCAATTTTATGTAGCTGCTAGGGAGAAGCAACTAACATGAGTTCCACTGTTACTCCTTCCTTCTACAGACTGCTGCCAGAAATTAGTTTTGGCAGAAAACAGGAGGAAGAATGCAAACTTTGAAATTGGAAAGTGGGGAAAGAAATGCCACAGCTTATGAGGGAGTTATTTCTATTTCTGTAGCTTATTGTGGCTTTGAAATCCCATTAACCTACAGTAGGATGTGTCTGCTCTTCTGGACTGAGCCCAGCCTCTCCAGTTAGCTGCTGTCATGAAGGAATATGAAAAATAACAGAAAACCAGCAGAAGCCAGTGAGGGAAATCTGCAGAGCAGGAATGGACTGTGAACCTCCAGGCATTTCCATATACACCCTGTGGTTAGAAGCTAACTTCTGAAAACAAAAGCAGGAGAGATATAAAGAATAAAAAAAATCCATATTAATCCTCCTGTGAGTGAATGAGAGCTTTTAAAAATATATCTTTTGTCTCATTTTTCTTTAGTATGAAAAGGAAATTTTCAGCAAGAAACTTGAAAGACTTTATCAGTTTTTCCTCCTTCTCTTGAGAACAAAGTACTCTTTCGTCAGACCTTTTATGACTTTAAATGTGAAACTCTCTCCCATCATCATTGTTTCTGAAGAGACAATAAAAGCTGTGCTAATGCTGTCATTTCTCACACTTCTTTCCACTCCCTCTGAAATCATATTTGTTTATATTCAGCAGATCTTATGAAAAGAAGTGGTCAAAATGTTGGGTTCCTGCACTGTGGGTTAGAGGAAAGCAGAGAGCATCTAGGCATTAGCACCTTTTAGAGGGGAAGGTGATAAATGTGCAGAAACTAGTATTTCAGAACCTATAAATAAAAGTAATATATTTAAAAAGAACTTCACTAAAGACTTTAGGGGCAACAGCTGAAAGACCTTTTCAGCTGGAACAAATCTGAACTTTTTCTTTCTGCTGTCAAACTGCAACCCCAGTAAATCCTAAATGTTTTCTGTGGATTTAGTGACTGGGTAGAGTTACAGTAATTCAAAAGAAATTCATGTCCTTGCCAATGCCTATTAGTCACACTTGCTGGAATTCTGTCTGCTCTGCTCCTAACACCATCTCAATGCCATCTGGATCCCTTAATAGCGTCTTCCCAACACATAGATTTTCTGCTCCATTCAATAGTTTCCTGTTCAGCAATAGCTTTTCCACATGGCCATGTCCTCTTTGCAGATGGGGCCTCTGTGAGACATGTCCTCATCGGCAATATCCACACTGCTCTACAGGCAATCGCATAACGCATCTGAGAACATTAAAAACAAATAAAAGAAAGATAAAGGGGTGATGGTGGTGAGTTGTCACTGGTTAACTCCACTGAAAATCTCTGGACTGAGGGAGACTTTTGGAATTGCCTAGATGTTGTTGAAAATGAGATTCTGCTCTTCTTCATCTCTAAAATGAAGAAAGGCAGCCCGGCCTTTCTTTCTAGCAGCCATTGCTCAGCACCTAAGCACTTTTTACATAGTGCTTAGGTGCACATGGTGGGATGTCTCCTGGTTCCACAAGTGTTGTTTCAGGAGACCTGAGGATGTAGGGTTTTTTCTGCTTGTTCCCTCTTCTAATTCGGGACACTGAAACATGCAGTGGAGGCAATATAAAGCTCAGTTTTTAAAAGTGGGAAAATTCACAACTCTGAGCAATGAATCTGTATTCTTGCACTAAATTTGATCCTGTGAAAGGCTGTGGAGGTGGCTTGAATTTACCTTGTGCCTGTGGAGCCTTTGACTCTGGGTTAAGCTGTCTGCATCTGGTGCAGGAAAGGTTTTCCAGAAATGCGATGAGATCTTTGCCAGAGTATAAATATATTCGTGTTTTCAAACCCCTGTATGGAGAAGTTGTTGGTAAATTTTCCAGAAATTATTCCAAATGATTTTTCCACGTGTCACAAAACTTGAGAATGGTGTCAGTATTTCAGAGAGTAACTGATGTTTCGTCCTTCCTCGTGCTGCAAGACTGCTTTTAAAATGGGTGCCAGCATTCATTCTGGGCCAGACATTAAGTTGATAGATGGTTTGTGCTGTACCCAGATGTTTCTGTACTCTGCTTTTTGTGGTTTTCACATGAATTTATCTTGGATTGTTCTCCCTACCTGAAAGTAACTCCCATATGTAATAAGTTGAGGCATGCAAATTGGTGATAAAATAGCATTACATATCTTGTGCGGATGTCCCTGGACATAGGGAGCACAAGGTGCATGCAGACTAAGGCTGCCTTTGTGAATGCTGATGCATCCGAAAAGCAGTACACAGTTGGCCCTGTACCTGAATTTACGTAAATGAAAAAATTCAAGTGCCAAGCAAGTAAATATTTTTCAATATTTGACTGCTGTATCTTAACCACCAGCTGCAAATGCTTTGCTGTGTTTATATATAGATAGGATTTCCCTTCCTTCTCTCTCTTTGCCATTGGGAAGAGTTCCCCAGGGCTGGAAAGCAAAGCTAGAATAGCACAAACTGTTTGCTAATGGTACTTAATGCTTTCCCACTGGAGATCCAGGACACTTAACAGTGTTAAAAATAGGTTAGAAGAGGGAGAAGTAGTAAAGCTCTAGTCAGTCCTAAAAATCTTTCTGGTACAAAGAGGTTACAACAGTGTTCCTGGTCCTCAGCACAGAGGAAAGAGCAAGTTTTGTCTCTGAAGGAGAGCTGTGCTGAGGCAGCGCAGAGGGGAGCTGCCCGCGCCGCGGTGGGAGGCCCCACACTGTGTCTGGAAGGAGGAGACCCTGGGAGCTGGGGCTTGGGAAGGAGCAGGCATCCGGGGGACGAGCCCACGAGCAAGCTTGTGGGGGAGATGCTGTGGACATGAGCCACACTCACAGGAGCTCTTGTGCGTGCTGCCGGCCGCAAAATACGCGGTCTGGGTATGTCTGCTGCCTGCCTGCCAGTGTCCAGGGCTTTGGATCACCGCTCTTTCTTCAGTGAGGCATGAAGGGCACAAACAAATTATTAAATCTTAACATTGAAACAGCAGAAAAATGTAATGACTTAAACCTACCCTTGTTACAGCTCACTTGTGTCTCACATCTCTGTGAAGTGTTTTCTGGTGACTGCTATGATTTTTAAAGGGCATGTAAGAGGCCTGAGCTTAAACCTCCACACACAGAAGAGTTCTGCGGGCAGATAACGGCAACATCACAGCTTATTTGAGAGGCTGGATGGGGAGAAATTTGCTCTAAATTAAAATTCAGCATGTCAAGTATGGAGGAAGTACTGATGAGAGTCCTGTGTGTAGCTCTGACCTTTCAGTAGCTGCTGCGCCGTTGTTCCTCAGAGAAAAATGTTGCTGTTCTTGTGGCCTGTTCTGCAATCCATTTAGAAACATGCCATTAAAAGCATTAATTCCATTTTGAATTTCCATTTTTTCCGACCTTTTCAGGCTCCTGGTTCTTCAGCATCCTCCATCCCTGCTAGCTTTGTGTCTCTTCTGGAAATTATTGATGATCTTTTTTAATGGCCTAGACAATGCTAAAAGCTGTTCCTCGGCATTTTAGAAGCTTCCAAGAGTGAAAAAAGATGATACTTTATAATATTTGAAAATTACCAGCAGGGGTCGGGCTTACAAATAATTTAAGCAATTCAAACTACATATTTATAAAGGAGGCATTTCTGTGCTGAACATGATGTAGATCAACCAGCTTCTATGTACAAGTTTGCAACTTCTGCCCAGTGAATAGGAGAAACAGCTTCTTCATTGCACCTGAAATTTCTTTTGCATAATTTTGGGATATTGGCAGATGGGTGCATTGTTTGTTGTCACAGTGCAAGGATTTTCAGCTTAATTTAGATAATTTAAAAGCAAGTATTATCAAGCAAGAAAATTATTTTTTTAAAAAATATTCTGTAAAAGGATCCTGAGAAAATTGAATGCAAAGATCATTATTAATATGCATTAGTTGCACAGTTAATCCCAGAAAGTTAACGTGCGAAAGGTGAGGTTCTTGAAGCAGCATTAAAGTTTTTGTACTCTGTATTTAAATGCAAGCAAAAGTGTTGTATCGAACGTTTTATAATAATATGTCCTGCTCAACAAGGTTGATAGAGTTCTCTTAAGGGTTCCACAACCATTTGGCTAAGGCTGATATGGTTGATATAATGTATTTGACCTTTCAGAAAGTTTTGAGCCAAAGGTCACAAAGAAACTTTACTCTGATGGAATAAGAAAGAAGGTTCTTTGTTAGATTAATACGAATATAAAAATCACAGAGGGCTGGCTGTCCCAGTGCACAGTCTGCAGGGATGGCCAGGGGTGGATGACCACATGAATAGGGCAAAGCTGTTGAGGTACTTTGCCTTGAGAAGGCTCTCCTGGCTTCTAGTGCCTTGTCTCCAGAATTTCCTGAGCCAGAGATAATACAATGTGTTTCTACTTTGTAAAGCTTGATGCCTTTTTCTTCCATTAATTTGCTTATGTAATACAAAGTTAAAAGATGGAAAATCAAATAAATGTTTTCACAATACTGAGGGTTTGTCATTAGGTTCTAGAATGATTTTATTGGGAACTTGTCCAACACAAAGAGGAGTTTGTGAGTAGTGAGGTGACAGAATTTGAGATAATAGGAAATTATGCAGCTTATCAGGCTGTTCAGAGTTTCAGAAGAATCTTATGATGCTGCTTGAGTTGGGAAATGAAGTTGTACGTCAATAATTACAAAACCCATGCACATAAGAAAAAACGCCTTTACTTTTACTCCCACAGTAGTGGGCTCTAAAAGAGCTGTTATCACTCAAGAAAGAGATCTTTTATTATTGTGAGCAGTTTTCTAAAAATATCAGGTAAATGCTCTGTAGTTAAAAAGACAAATAGAATACTAGCAGTTATTAGAAAAGAAGTTGAGAACAAACCAGAAAGCCTCATTATACCACTGAATACATCTGAGTGCTGTTTGTAGTTCTAGCTTTTCTCATAGCAAAAAGTCTATATAAAACTTTGAGGAAGAACAAGGGAGGGCAATAAAGATGAGCAGAAATATGGAAAATCCTTGATGTGAGGAAAGACTAAATTGAGATTCTTCAGCAAATAATAGAAAAGGCCTGTAAAATGGTATGGAGAGGGGATTATGATACAATTATTCACAATTTTTCATAGCAGAACTAACAGGCACTCAGTGAAATAATCACGTGAAGTATAAAACAAAATGAACTAATTTTTCATACAGCACATAATTGTGGAACTTACTGCCAAAGAGTGTTGTGAAGGCCAAAAAATAAATCAGATCAAGAAGAGATCTGATGCACTCATGGAGATTTTAGCAGTTGGTGGTTATTAAACGTGATGGTCTAGACTCAGTCTGTGATTCAGAAAGTATCTGTTAGATTTGTTTTATACTCAAGTTGTATATTTTTAATATACTTTTACAAATTATATTTGCATCATACAAACGTATATTTTAGACATGTTTTAACTGCCTTGGTAGTGCAGCTTTGTGGTACTGAACACAGGATTAATCTGATACTGCTTGTGATTTCATGTTTTACTTTGTGGTGGGACTGTGCAGGAACACAGTGTCTATTAACTTTCCCTTCTTCTCCAGGCTGAAAATTGAGGAGCTGGAAGCTGAACGCAGCAGACTGGAAGAGCAGAACAGGTCTCTGGAAATGAAACTGGAGAAGCTGACTCTGCAGGTAGGAAATGGGGAGGTCCAGAGCAGTTGCAGCACCTGCCACGGTCCATTCACCATAGCTGTTCTCACAGATGTGCCAGAATCCTCACAGCACACAGCTTCACTGCCCTCAATCTGGGCAAGGGGTTTTTCAGAAGCCGATGCAAACTGCACCAAAATACCCATATCTCTGACCGCGTTATTGGAGTGTTTTGATGTCAGATGGAGTCACACAAATGCAGTTCTTTTTTGATGCCTTTGCTTAGAACCTCTTCTTCTTGGAGCCTTAAAAGCTGTTCCATTTTAAATAACTCCACTACCATAAGTTGTCTGTCTCCAAATTAATTTGTGCCAAAGCAGGACTGTAGACAGGGCTTAACAGCACGGAGCTGATGTGAGAGTTTGAGCTCCCTTTGTACCAAAGACTCCACTGCTGCTATCAGCAATGGAGACAGACCACCAGTTTGTGGCCTCATTAGATAATAGGTTTCCAAGGCAAGAAGCGTCAGTGCTATTGGGAGGATGACATGGCAGCATCTCCAGACCACAGACATGGAGACCAGAAGGTGTGAAGTCAGAAGGACTAAAGGGTGTGTTTCTTTTGCTGCGCTGCTGTGGGTGTTTTACCTTTTCCTAAGATAGTGCTGTCCTGCATGGCTGAAGGTCTTCAGCTGTTCTCTCTGGATAGGTCTGTGAAGTCTCGCCGTCCTTGAAGGAGGGCAAGGGCACCTGCAGCAGTTGGGTGGACTGTTTATTCAGCTTGTTCTCATTCTGGGAACAACTTTCCTGTGCAGAGGAGGGGCATGGGAGTTGCTTTGAACTTTTATAGGTTTCCTATTTGGAAGGTGCTGAAGCACACAAGAACCTGACCCTGTTTTGTTTAATCAAAGCCCATCCTGCTATGAACTGTGTCATCTCTCCCTTCTGTTCTCTCTGATATGCTGAACAATTCAGCATTGTAGCATTTAATTTTCTTAATTTTTCCTTTCCTCCTCTTTCTTTTTTTTTTTTTTTTTTTACATTTTTGTGTAAATTGCTTCATGGTAGAAAATGTAAAGGTTTCAGATTACCCAGATTTCAGACAGACCATTGATTTTTATCTTGACACCTATTAGAAGCAAATCAGATATTTTTTTTTTTTTATTACCAATTCCTAGAGACAGGGGAAGTGACAGCTTTGATAAAGCAGGAAGCTAAGAGCTGCTGAGCATCTCTGCTGAGCCATGTTTAGTGTGAAACCTGTCACCCCGCTTTCCTTTAATTGTGTTTCAGTCATCAGGAGATGAAAGCTTTGGGCTGGTGTTTCGATGCTTAGGTCTCCAAGAAACACAACTGCAGCTTTGGTTTCAGAGCAGATTACAACTCCCTCAGGTAGCATTTAATCTGCCAACATTGTTTTACAATAGCTGCTGGCTTTCCAAGAAGGCCTGACCAGAGGAATTCCCTATTTTCTTTGTGATGTCTTGAGATGCTCCACTTTGTTTGCTCATACGACTCTTGAAATGCCAAAACACCAAGCTTTTAAAATTACAGATTCAAAGAGGAGAAAGGTCTGAAGTCTTCAGTGTAGTCTTGCTAATTGTCTGCCTTCTGGTTCTCAGAAGAGGAGATCATCAGTAGCTACTGTTTGGATAGCTGAGCTTTCACAGTGTAGAAAAGTGATGAGGTGATAGGAACAAAATGGGACCTTCATACTGTGGTAAAGCTACTATACAATAACTTAGGTCGTACTGTTCACCCAAAAGGCTTTGAAAGCATGTCACAGGATGCCCATGACTGATCTCATTAATGGTGCTTGCTGTTTGAATTCAGTATTGTGTAGGTCAGGGCTTTGTGGAGGGAGCGGGGGAGAACAGGAACAACCTGCAGATAGAGCAGAGTAAAAATTTTATGGGAAGGTGTGGAAAAAGAGAAAGAAGACGGACATCTGGCTTAGCAGGTCTAGGAAAGAGAAATCTGCCAGTCCCCCAAAAGGCTAGTTAGTGAGCTGAATTAAGGTAATCATGCTCTTATATCTGCTTTGCCAAGGCTGAGGACATGGTTTTAATTATTTAACAGGAGGTAGCTCCCCCTTCCTTAGCTTCTCACTTTACTGATGTTTTAGAGGACTGGATGCCAAAAGCAGTTTCTCTGAAAGAGGAGGAGTAGAAAGAAAAGCATAAATATAGGAATATGTAAGCTGAATGCTAAAATGTGTGCCCACCTGAATGGTCAAGATTTCAGAACTCCTCAGAGGGGAAAACCAGCCTTCCCATTTTTATTTCAACTTGATAATCAAGTATATTAACAGGCTAAGCTAAGAATTACTTCTTTTTGTAAACACATTGGAAAAATGTTCCTTACAATGGGAACCCACTAAGTTAAGGATAAGCTTAGAAATTCACCTCTTCTATCAGTGCTGAGCAAATATGCTGAAAATATTATTGTACACTCAGATAAGGTCACTGAAATGTTGCTAGTTTGGCATGTTGTTTATTTCCATCTCTGAAAGAAATCACTGGGAAATGATGGGTTAAAATAATGTCTTTATCACAAAGGGGAGAAAAAGCAAGACAAACTTTATATACAGAAATCACAAGAAAATTTTACTGAAGAGAAAGATGAAACTACAAACATGGGAAAAGCATGGCATCAAATCAAATAAAGGTGTAAGAGAAAGTAGGGGGTGACATTAAACAAGGTAGGATGAGGGCGATTTCTGACTAATCTTTATCTGCAGTTCCTTCTTTTTTAAAATAAAATGTCTGACTTTCTGGAATTGTATCTACTAAATGAAAGATACATAGAAGGGGTGTATTAAACTTGTGAATTTGGAAGAGGAAGAGACAGGATGTAGAATTAAGGCTTTGACTGCTTTACACTGGACTGAAGTCTTTTGAGTTCACAAAGCTGCATGAAGTGAATGAAATCTAGGGAGATATGGCTAATGTCTGGTAATGGAAAATGTCAGCGTTTGGCTGTATTGATGTGTGTAAAGGAGTACAGTTTCAAAAATGTTTGCCTCCTCTCGTGTCCTTTTGCATCCAAGTATTGGCACGTGTGTTTTGCTCATTTCTTCTTTGGCTGCTGCTAACAGTAGCCCACTTTGTGAACTACAGGACCCAGATGGACTCGCCAGAGGGCAAGCGAGTATATGGAAATGTACTTTTGTGTTAGGTGTGTGATTCACACTCCCCGAGCAAATACAGAAGCTGGGATACTGATAGCTATCTGCAGCAGTCTTTGTAACATCTGGCATCTCTTTGTGTTCTGTGCTTATGCGGGGACAGCTTGAATCATGGCTGAAGGTGCTTTCCACCTCCACACACCCCTTCTTCCAAAACCCCTTTGGCTCTTGACACCTAGCTGCAGGCTGCATTGATTTTCCTTCACTGGTATAAAGACTTTAGCATGGATATTACTCACTGGTCAGGTCTTTACTGCTAATAAAGCCCTCAGATTACAAAACCACAAGAAATGTTGGAACTGTAGAGAAATGACACCCTGCTGTGAGGGTGCCTCCCCATCACCCAGGACATTATCTTAAGAGATATTTGAACTGTTTCTCAGGAGAGGGATTCAAATAATATATGAAAGGAGTGGGTTTAACCTGTCAATTTTATCTCCTCTCTCCTACCCTTCTTTCTTTCTATGAAGCAAAAAAGACTTCCAGGAAAGCAAATGTGCTGTTACTGCTTGGCCTATGGAGGGCAAGTGAGATTCCAGTGACAGGCTTGGTTTGTTCAGTCATCTGAAATGATCTGGACCATCTTCCCGAGCTGCTGGTAGAAAAGTGCAACTTGATGCCAGGAACAAGAGAGACTGATCAAATCAGTGCTTTTTGGATAAAGTGGGAGGAAAGACTTGTGAGGAGCGTTCAATTAGCATTTCTTACTGCTAGGAGCCTTGTGTTTACAGGCAACCAAACGGATATGAAGTGTTCCTTATGCAAATACTACTCTCCTGCTTTTCCTGCTCTCCTCTACTCTTCGAGCTGAAGGAGAAGAGATTCTTCAAGTTTGGCTGCTTCAAGGAAGATTGATTAAAATCAGCTGCAGTTTGACTTAATTGGATCCATATGCTTGGAGAGGGAGCAGGACTAGTTAGAAGTCCTCGTAATTAGTTCACAGCTGGTTGGTGAGAAAAATGAAACACCAGTTAGAGTTCAAATAAGTGGATCTGTATGGATAAAAGGCAGGGAGATGTTTTTTACACTGAGATGTGTTTGAGCTTGAAAACAGCCTCTATTCCTATAGCCAGGCTAGCAGCCTGATCCCTTGGAGTGTGTGCATGTGTATTTATGAGGCTAAACGGAAGGAGTCTTTCTTTTCTTTCTTGTTTCTGAGTAAAATGAATCACCTGTGGATGCTGGCAGTCAAGGGAACCTGAGCAGGGTCACTGAAAGCTGGGAGAGGATCTTCAGGACTAGGTGAAACCCTACAAGGGTAGTTTGGCTGTGTGAAAGGTTTGTGGTTTGGCACAAACTCTGAACTGATCAACTTTTGAGTGCAATAACCCTGGTCACAGTGGTAACTAGTTGTATTTAGCCTTTCTGCAGGTTGGTAATATGACATCAACACTCATAAAAATGCAATATTATTCATAAATGTTGAAATAATGGATTTTTGCCCATTCTCTCAAAGAGCTTGGGAAGAGTTGACTAGCTACGGAGTATGGAGACAGTCATCAGAAAATGTTCCCCAGCCAGAAGCTGGTATTTATGCCAAATTTTGATGTTAGAATAGAAGGGACTAAATTCCCTGTTACAGTGTCCACAAGGGAACTGCCTGAGAAAAATGTACTCCACAAAGTATTTGGGGGTGTTTATTCACACTGGCATGACTTTATTAACATGTTTTGAGGTGTTCATTAATGCATGTACAAATAGTTTCTTTCTAAATGTCTAACTTTGCTGTTGTTATTGACCATTTTACATTTTAAGATATTAATCTGGTTTAATTAAAGGTTAGTTTCTTCCAGGCTTTAAATTGATTATTTTTGCACAAATTAAAGCATAAGCCACTTGTCCACTTTGGTGGTAGT